CTGGTAGTGTATAGTGCACTACTTTTATATATTCCCTATGGGCCCTAATAGGGTGCCATTTGGGACGGAGGTCCTCAAAATGCATACTACCGTGCTCCGAGGATGCAAATTGGAGCACAGGAGGGTCGGAGTATGAGTCAAAATCAAAGTATGCGAAACGGAGCATGGAGGGCACTTCTCGAATGCGTACTCCGTTTGTACATATTTTGAAGCATGCGATCGATGCAAGCTTCAACGGAAAGTATGCAAAGAAATATGCCGCAACCAGGTAAAAAAATAATAATTAAGCAGCATTTCTTGAAATCAATGGCGGACATTATTTGAGCTGAAGCGAGAGAAAATAGAATCCGTCTTCAGTTTCTCCTTTGAGTCACCTGACTGATTAGAAAAACACTGTATGACACTGGCAACACTTCCCTCCCATCATCCACAGTATTCCCGTCAGCACATTACTGCTGATTCGAATCGAGCTGTTAGATGATAGTGCTGGCATGAGGTCATGCTGACGGTGGTGTTGATGGTGCTTTGGCGGAGAAGAGAAGACAGGAGATTGTGTGCAGTTGTTTTCGTAGTTGGTTTTCATAGTTGATTTTCATATTTGTTTTTATAGTTCAGGCCCCCCTATGGTGCCCTTCACTGATTAGCAAAGGCAATGTCAATCACAGTGAGTTTGTGTCCCTAGTCTACTGCTATGGTTTACCCACAGCAAAGGTGAACAACATATTCAGGCCATGGTCACAAACGTGTGTGTGTGTGTGTGTGTGTATATATATATATAGATATATATATATATATATATATATATATATATATATATATACACATACACACACACACACACAGTGAGGGAAAAAAGTATTTGATCCCCTGCTGATTTTGTACGTTTGCCCACTGACAAAGAAATTATCAGTCTATAATTTTAATGGTAGGTTTATTTGAACAGTGAGAGACAGAATAACAACAACAAAATCCAGAAAAACGCATGTCAAAAATGTTATAAATTGATTTGCATTTTAATGAGGGAAATAAGTATTTGACCCCCTCTCAATCAGAAAGATTTCTGGCTCCCAGGTGTCTTTTATACAGGTAACGAGCTGAGATTAGGAGCACACTCTTAAAGGGAGTGCTCCTAATCTCAGCTTGTTACCGGTGTAAAAGACACCTGTCCAGAGAACCAATCAATCAATCAGATTCTCCACCATGGCCAAGACCAAAGAGCTCTCCAAGGATGTCAGGGACAAGATTGTAGACCTACACAAGGCTGGAATGGGCTACAAGACCATCACCAAGCAGCTTGGTGAGAAGGTGACAACAGTTGGTGCGATTATTCGCAAATGGAAGAAACACAAAATAACTGTCAATCTCCCTCGGCCTGGGGCTCCATGCAAGATCTCACCTCGTGGAGTTGCAATGATCATGAGAACGGTGAGGAATCAGCCCAGAACTAAATGGGAGGATCTTGTCAATGATCTCAAGGCAGCTGGGACCATAGTCACCAAGAAAACAATTGGTAACACACTATGCCGTGAAGGACTGAAATCCTGCAGCGCCCACAAGGTCCCCCCCTGCTCAAGAAAGCACATATACAGGCCCGTCAGAAGTTTGCCAATGAACATCTGAATGATTCAGAGGAGAACTGGGTGAAAGTGTTGTGGTCAGATGAGACCAAAATCGAGGTCTTTGGCATCAACTCAACTCGCCGTGTTTGGAGGAGGAGGAATGTGCCTATGACCCCAAGAACACCATCCCCACCGTCAAACATGGAGGTGGAAACATTATGCTTTGGGGGTGTTTTTCTGCTAAGGGGACAGGACAACTTCACCGCATCAAAGGGACGATGGACGGGGCCATGTACCGTCAAATCTTGGGTGAGAACCTCCTTCCCTCAGCCAGGGCATTGAAAATTGGTCGTGGATGGGTATTCCAGCATGACAATGACCACAATGACCACACGGCCAAGGCAACAAAGGAGTGGCTCAAGAAGAAGCACATTAAGGTCCTGGAGTAGTCTAGCCAGTCTCCAGACCTTAATCCCATAGAAAATCTGTGGAGGGAGCTGAAGGTTTGAGCTGCCAAACGTCAGCCTTGAATCCTTAATGACTTGGAGAAGATTTGCAAAGAGGAGTGGGACAAAATCCCTCCTGAGATGTGTGCAAACCTGGTGGCCAACTACAAGAAATATCTGACCTCTGTGATTGCCAACAAGGGTTTTGCCACCAAGTACTAAGTCATGTTTTGCAGAGGGGTCAAATACTTACAGTGGGGAAAAAAAGTATTTAGTCAGCCACCAATTGTGCAAGTTCTCCCACTTAAAAAGATGAGAGAGGCCTGTAATTTTCATCATAGGTACACGTCAACTATGACAGACAAAATGAGGAAAAAATATCCAGAAAATCACATTGTAGGATTTTTTATGAATATATTTGCAAATTATGGTGGAAAATAAGTATTTGGTCAATAACAAAAGTTTCTCAATACTTTGTTATATACCCTTTGTTGGCAATGACACAGGTCAAACGTTTTCTGTAAGTCTTCACAAGGTTTTCACACACTGTTGCTGGTATTTTGGCCCATTCCTCAATGCAGATCTCCTCTAGAGCAGTGATGTTTTGGGGCTGTCGCTGGGCAACACAGACTTTCAACTCCCTCCAAAGATTTTCTATGGGGTTGAGATCTGGAGACTGGCTAGGCCACTCCAGGACCTTGAAATGCTTCTTACGAAGCCACTCCTTCGTTGCCCGGGCGGTGTGTTTGGGATCATTGTCATGCTGAAAGACCCAGCCACGTTTCATCTTCAATGCCCTTGCTGATGGAAGGAGGTTTTCACTCAAAATCTCACGATACATGGCCCCATTCATTCTTTCCTTTACACAGATCAGTCGTCCTGGTCCCTTTGCAGAAAAACAGCCCCAAAGCATGATGTTTCCACCCCCATGCTTCACAGTAGGTATGGTGTTCTTTGGATGCAACTCAGCATTCTTTGTCCTCCAAACACGACGAGTTGAGTTTTTACCAAAAAGTTCTATTTTGGTTTCATCTGACCATATGACATTCTCCCAATCCTCTTCTGGATCATCCAAATGCACTCTAGCAAACTTCAGACGGGCCTGGACATGTACTGGCTTAAGCAGGGGGACACGTCTGGCACTGCAGGATTTCAGTCCCTGGCGGCGTAGTGTGTTACTGATGGTAGGCTTTGTTACTTTGGTCCCAGCTCTCTGCAGGTCATTCACTAGGTCCCCCCGTGTGGTTCTGGGATTTTTGCTCACCGTTCTTGTGATCATTTTGACCCCACGGGGTGAGATCTTGCGTGGAGCCCCAGATCGAGGGAGATTATCAGTGGTCTTATATGTCTTCCATTTCCTAATAATTGCTCCCACAGTTGATTTCTTCAAACCAAGCTGCTTACCTATTGCAGATTCAGTCTTCCCAGCCTGGTGCAGGTCTCCAATTTTGTTTCTGGTGTCCTTTGACAGCTCTTTGGTCTTGGCCATAGTGGAGTTTGGAGTGTGACTGTTTGAGGTTGTGGACAGGTGTCTTTTATACTGATAACAAGTTCAAACAGGTGCCATTAATACAGGTAACGAGTGGAGGACAGAGGAGCCTCTTAAAGAAGAAGTTACAGGTCTGTGAGAGCCAGAAATCTTGCTTGTTTGTAGGTGACCAAATACTTATTTTCCACCATAATTTGCAAATAAATTCATTACAAATCCTACAATGTGATTTTCTGGAAAAAAAATTCTCAATTTGTCTGTCATAGTTGACGTGTACCTATGATGAAAATTACAGGCCTCTCTCATCTTTTTAAGTGGGAGAACTTGCACAATTGGTGGCTGACTAAATACTTTTTCCCCCCACCGTATTTCCCTCATTGAAATGCAAATCAATTTATAACATTTTTGACATGCGTTTTTCTGGATTTTGTTGTTGTTATTCTGTCTCTCACTGTTCAAATAAACCTATCATTAAAATGATAGACTGATCATGTTTTTTTTTTTGTTTTTTTCTTCGGGGGGATGGATCAGCTTAATATTGACTGATCATGTCTTTGTCAGTGGGCAAACGTACAAAATCAGCAGGGGATCAAATACTTTTTTCCCCTCATTGTATGTGTACATTTATTTTGCAACGCTTTGCGCACGTGACGCGGGTGGTGTGGTCAGCATGTCACAGTGGTTCCCATTGCAGCCAATCATACAAACAGTCACAAGCACTTAGAAGCCGTCACAACTGGGATGTTAGTAAAATGAGAGTAAAAGTAAAATATAATATAAAATGAGAGTGTGCCCTTCAGTAGTCCTTGGCCTTTTTATACATCCAAATCAAAACGCTAATCCAAAATCCATAATTGATTCCTAATCCCATCTGTATTAGGCAATGCTGCATAAGGTTTTCTCAAACGCTATAAAACGTCCAAGCACAGTTCCTAGGTCAATAACATATATATGCGTCAACTCATATGTTGCAATTGCAGATAAATATAGGTTCTGCCATGTCGAGGCAACCCAATCTGGAATAAAAACATGCCTATAATCTACAGTGACATGCTTCGTCTCATGCTTAAAGACATACTGCCGCTAGTGAAATAACCTATTTACAGGGCTTTCATATTGCATTTCCTCTTCGTAAACCACGACCTATAACCTCCCCCACTTCCCTATGCCTCACAGTCAGCAAGCAGCCAATCATTTGTCTCATTTCCAGTTACTTCAAGTCTCAAGGAGGAGGGTGTCACTGCATGAGGCCAAGGATGGGGTGTAGAAGAATGAGACAGTGATTTCATCATAGCCTTAATTCTCATGCTAGCTTGAGGCTGAGATGGAAACTGCTAGTTGACCATCATTACATAGGCAGCACCTCTACTTGTCTTTCTAGCACAACAGTCAACAGCCATGACCTACATTTCACAACACATCGATAACATTCATTCTTGTGTATGCTGAGTTGCAGTCTCCCACACACACATTATCCAAACCCCCCCACAACTGTCAACAAACCAATCACGTCCTTACCTCTAACACAGGCCCCGCACCCAAGATGATCTGCTCCACCCCACTGGCAAATCCCTTCTGGCTGAGGGCGGTGAGGTGATGAATCAGGAAGTTGGTGCTCTGGGTCTTCCCCGAGCCGCTCTCGCCGGAGATGACGATGCACTGGTTCCTCCGCCGCTGCAGCATGGCGTGGTAGGCCACGTCCGCCACCGCGTAGATGTGCGGCTCCAGTTCTCCCAGAGCGTGGTTGTCATACATCTTGACATACTTGGGGTTATAGATGGGGAGGAACTGGAAGGGGTTAATGACGATGAGGATGGAGCCTACGTAGGTGTAGATCCTCTCCTGGCGGAAGCGTGCGCGCAGGCTCTCCAGCAGGGCACGCTCCGTCAGCTCAGGGAGAGAGCACAGGTCGGACGGGTGCTCGCCCCCTGCGGGCTGGGGCAGAAAACCCCGTTCCACCATGCGGCGGCGCTCCTCGGTCACTCGCAGCCACATCTGGAGACTCCCTCCATAATGGATGGAACCGTCCAGGTTCTTCTCTCGGAGCAGAAAGCGGTAGTCCTCGCCACTGCCCAGGCCGCAGCGGTTCTCCAGGGCGTTGCGGGGCCACAGCATCATCCGCTGGACAGGGTAGTCGCTGGGGTTGAGGATCCACTCCTCCCCACCGAACTCCTTCACCTCGGCTAGCACGTAGCATTTGGTGCGGTCCAGACGCAGGCGCTCCAGCAGGAGCTCGATGGCCTCGGCAGCCGTGGTGCTCTTGCGGGCGCCCACGGGGCAGTAGATGGTGCCCTCGGCCAGGGCGCCCGGGTAGACGCGCAGGGTGAACTCCTGGTCCTCCAGGCGCCGCCGCATGCTGCCGCTAGCCGCGTTAGCCACCACACTGGCATTAGCGTTGGCCCTAGCATAGCCGCAGCCACCATCTTGAAGGCTCATAGTGGAGAAGCAGGTCCCATCAGCGCTGGCTGCTGCTGGGAGTTCTTCTCTGGGCCAGGGGACCGACTCAGGACATTCCAGCTGAGAAGAGAATAAAAATACAGAGTTTAGAGGAGGCAGGCAACACAATGACATCATACACGGTCAGGGACATAATGACATCATACACGGTCACGGACATAACGACATCATACACTGGTGCTTGATACAGTATTGATGAACAACATGGGGGAAGAGGAGGTTCCATGAGGGAAGTGATGGTTCCATGAGGGAAGAGGAGGTTCCATAAGGGAAGTGATGGTTCCATGAGGGAAGTGATGGTTCCATGAGGGAAGTGATGGTTCCATGAGGGAAGTTCCATGAGGGAAGTGATGGTTCCATGAAGGAAGAGGAGGTTCCACATAGCAAATTATTTCATGTGTCACTGTAGTACAACAGACGTTTTTTGTGTGTCATAGTCAAAATAACTAGTATCTCGTTTCAGAAAAAGTCACAAAACAGACAGTAAAACCAAGATAGCCAGATAAAAAACCCTCAGAGGCAGTACGAGCGTCACACATTTCTAAACCGCTGGGCCTGGTTTATCTGAGCCTGTGTGTGCTAATCCCACTACCATGCTCGTGTGCCAACATAAACAGCTGTTCTCTAATGAACACTCAATGGCTTAAAGAGCAACTGAAGGCAATAAAGAACTTCTCTGGGTGAAAATGGCCTATGTGGCATCGATAAGAGTCGGAAAAATATATCGTAGTGTCAAAATTGACTACAGAGTGTAAATACGATAATTTTGTTCATAAAGTCAGTCTCGTCCAAAACTGATATTTGCGAGATAATGTCAAGGAATGAAGGGTACCGTAACAGTTTTCCTTGGGTTGGGTTTATTTCAATCCAAGTGTATCATCAATTCGGAGCGCAGCTGCAAGCGACTCGATCATAATGCCCATGGTCAATTTTGTTTGACATTCGATATTCCTATGGGGCTAGTTAGGGACCGTCAATTAATTATACAATGTACACGGGACAATATTTGTTTTTTTAAATGAAAAGTTGGCTAGCTTGCTAGCTAGTCTAGGCTACTTCCAGACACAAGGCCCTGGTTAGACTGTTTCAATGTATCTAGAAGGTTGAGTGACTGTAACTGTGTACTGTTTTGGCAGAGTGAAAGTACAAACGCTTCCCACATTCGAACACACACATTCGAACACACCCACATCAAAGCACGACTCCATGACCCAAATCTCGTTCTCAGACGCATTTCCTAATAAGGAAAATTTAAACCGAGGCTTTAAAGTTCAGCTTTAATTCACCACTTCCCTGGTGATACTGGGTAGACAGAGTGCTCTCCACAGGCCACCATTCACCACTGTACAGGACAGAGTCTAAGCTACAGTTAGCCACGCTAACGCAAAGTGACTAGCGTGTCAAAAGAAAAGATTCCAACTCCACCGCTAGGGTGACTGAGACACCAACGTAAAAAACAATTGCCGATATTGACGGTCATTTATCCTTTATTTAACCAGGTGAGTCCTACTGAGATATATCTCTTTTTCCAAGGGAGCCCTGTGGGGCCAGCATTTTGGCTAAATACTATATAAAGATCTGAGGCGAACTTGATATAAAATGTTCCCTTCGATGAATACTGAGAGACGTATTATCTTTATCTCCATCACATCACGTCAACGTCAGTAAGACCAAGGAGCTAACCGTGGACGACAGGAAACAGGAAACAGGGTGGGGGGGGGGCAATCTAGCTGCATCACACTATGCCACAGATACAGACTCAAACAACTACAAACACAAACAGAAAGGGCAGGAATTGGGGGAAAAAAGGGTTAAAATGGCTTTATTCTAACAGTGCTAAAGGCTAATGTGTTCATGCTAATAGCTAGTAGCAGCACATGATGCCTTGTTACAACCAGAAACAGAAATGACAGGCATCAGACTGACAGAACAAACACCACAAAGATTAACGGCTTAATGTTAACAATATTATCCCTAAAAGCAGCAATTACGATACAGTGCAGTGTGTTTCCAGGAACTATTATGGTTATTTACAGGTTAGGGTTACAGGTATAGGTTTTCATTCAGTTTAGAGAATTGAGCTTGTCATTTGTGCATGGAAATAGTTCTCAGGGGAGAGAGATCTGATCTGCTTTTCTTTAGAGTGGATGTCACAAGTACTAAACCACTGACACCCACACTTGACAGTAATACAGGCCTACAGCCAAAAGCACCACTGTGTTTTTAGGATTAGTTTCTCCTCCCTCCCCCTCTCCCTCGTTTCTCTCTGAGGTTGCCTTGCTTGATCCTGCAGTTGGCAGCAGGCCAGCTGCTCTCTCAGGTGTCTGTCTGTCTGTCTGATCTAAGATGGGCTGCTGTGAATGAACTACCTGGAGCGGTCTGTGTCTGCAGCGTCACGGGTGAATTAATTAGACAGTCAGCATGAGAGGGGAGATAAAGGGAGATGCATAGAGACAGTCAGCATGAGAGGGGAGATAAAGGGAGATGCATAGAGACAGTCAGCATGAGAGGGGAGATAAAGGGAGATGCATAGAGACAGTCAGCATGAGAGGGGTAGATAAAGGGAGATGCATAGAAGACAGCCAGCATGAGAGGGGAGATAAAGGGAGATGCATAGAGACAGTCAGATGAGAGGGGAGATCCAGGGAGATGCATAGAGACATCAGCATGAGAGGGGAGATAAAGGGAGATGCATAGAGACCGTCAGCATGAGAGGGGAATAAAGGGGAGATGCATAGAGACAGTCAGCATGAGAGGGGAGATAAAGGGGAGATGCATAGAGAACAGCAGCATGAGAGGGGAGATAAAGGGAGATGCACATAGAGACAGTCAGCATGAGAGGGGAGATAAGGGAGATGCATAAGAGACAGTCCAGCATGAAGGGGGGAGATAAAGGGAGATGCATAGAGACAGTCAGCATGAGAGGGGAGTAAGGGAGATGCATAGAGACAGTCAGGCATGAGAGGGGAGATAAAGGGAGATGCATAGAGACAGTCAGCATGAGAGGGGAGATAAAGGGAGATGCATAGAGACAGTCAGCATGAGAGGGGAGATAAAGGGAGATGCATAGAGGACCAGTCAGCATGAGAGGGGAGATAAAGGGAGATGCATAGAGACCAGTCAGCATGAGAGGGGAGATAAATGGGAGATGCATATAGACAGTCAGCATGAGAGGGAGAGAATAAAAAAGGGGGGGGAGATGCATAGAGACAGTCAGCATGAGAGGGGAGATCAAGGGAGATGCATAGAGACAGTCAGCATGAGAGGGGAGATAAAGGGAGATGCATAGAGACAGTCAGCATGAGAGGGGAGATTAAAGGGAGATGCATAGAGACAGTCAGCATGAGAGGGGAGATAAAGGGAGTGCATAGAGACAGTCAGCATGAGAGGGGAGATAAAGGGAGATGCATAGAGACAGTCAGCATGAGAGGGAGATAAAGGGAGATGCATAGAGACAGTCAGCATGAGAGGGGAGATAAAGGGAGATGCATAGAGACAGTCAGCATGAGAGGGGAGATAAAGGGAGATGCATAGAGACAGTCAGCATGAGAGGGGAGATAAAGGGAGATGCATAGAGACAGTCAGCATGAGAGGGGAGATAAAGGGAGATGCATAGAGACAGTCAGCATGAGAGGGGAGATAAAGGGAGATGCATAGAGACAGTCAGCATGAGAGTGGAGATAAGGGAGATGCATAGAGACAGTCAGCATGAGAGTGGAGATAAAGGGAGATGCATAGAGACAGTCGCATGAGAGGGGGGAGATAAACGGAGATGCATAGAGGACAGTCAGCATGAGAGGGGAGATAAAGGTGAGATGCATAGAGACAGTCAGCATGAGAGGGGAGATAAAGGGAGATGCATAGAGACAGTCAGCATGAGAGTGGAGATAAAGGAGATGCATAGAGACAGTCAGCATGAGAGGGGAGATAAAGGGAGATGCATAGAGACAGTCAGCATGAGAGGGGGGAGATAAAGGGAGGATGCATAGAGACAGTCAGTGAGAGGGGAGATAAAGGGAGATGCCATAGCGGACAGTAGCATGAGAGGGGAGATTAAAGGGAGATGCATAGAGACAGTCAGCATGAGAGGGGAGATAAAGGGAGATGCAATATAGAGACAGTCCATCATGAGAGGGGAGAAGATAAAAGGGGGATGCATAGAGACAGTCAGCATGAGAGGGGTATATAAAAGGAGATGCATAGAGACAGTCAGCATGAGAGGGGAGATAAATGGAGAAGATGCATAGACAGTCACATGAGAGGGGAGATAAAAGGGATATGCATAGAGACTAGTCAGCATGAGAGGGGAATATAAAGGGAGGATGCATAGAGGACAGTCAGCATGAGAGGGGAGATACAGGGGAGATGCATAGGGACATTCAGGCATGAGAGGGGAGATAAAGGGAGATGCATAGAGACAGTCACATGAGAGGCGGGATAAAGGGAGATGCATAGTGACAGTCAGCATGAGAGGGGGAGATAAAGGGAGATGCATAGAGACAGTCAGCATGAGAGGGGGAGATAAAGGGAGATGCAGAGACAGTCAGCATGAGAGGGGAGATAAAGGGAGATGCATAGAGACAGTCACATGAGAGGGAGATAAAGGGAGATGCATAGAGACAGTCAGCATGAGAGGGGAGATAAAGGGAGATGCATAGAGACATCAGCATGAGAGGGAGATAAAGGGAGATGCATAGAGACAGTCGCATAAGGGGGATAAAGGGATGCATAGAACATCAGCATGAGAGGGAGATAAAGGAGATGCATGACAGTTAGCATGAGAGAGGAATAAAGGGAGATGCATAGGACAGTCAGCATAGAGGGGAGATAAAGGGAGATGCATAGCGACAGTCGCATGAGAGGGGAGATAAAGGAGATGCATAGAGACAGTCAGCATGAGAGGGAGATAAAGGAGATGCATAGAGACAGTCAGTATGAGAGGGGAGATAAAGGGAGATGCATAGATCAGTCAGCATGAGAGGGAGATAAAGGAGAGATGCATAGCGACAGTCAGCATGAGGGGGAGATAAAAGGAGATGCATGAGACAGTCAGCATGAGAGGGGAGATAAAGGAGATGCATAGAGACAGTCAGTAAGTAGAGAGGGGAGATAAAGGGAGATGGCATAGAGACAGTCAGCATGAGAGGGTGAGATAAAGGGAGATGCATAGAGACAGTCAGCATGAGAGGGGAGATAAAGGGAGATGCATAGAGACAGTCAGCATGAGAGGGGAGATAAAAGAGATGCATAGAGACAGTCAGCATGAGAGGGGAGATAAGGGAGATGCATCAGGACAGTCAGCATGAGAGGGAGATAAAGGGAGATGCATAGAGACAGTCAGCATGAGAGGGAGATAAAGGGAGATGCATAGAGACAGTCAGCATGAGAGGGGAGATAAAGGGAAGATGCATAGAGACAGTCAGCATGAGAGGGAGATAAAGGGAGATGCATAGAGACAGTCAGCATGAGAGGGGAGATAAAGGGAGATGCATAGAGACAGTCAGCATGAGAGGAGATAAAGGGAGATGCATAGTGACAGTTAGCATGAGAGAGGAGATAAAGGGAGATGCATAGAGACAGTCAGCATGAGAGGGGAGATAAAGGGAGATGCATAGAGACAGTCAGCATGAGAGGGGAGATAAAAGGAGATGCATAGAGACAGTCAGCATGAGAGGGGAGATAAAAGGAGATGCATAGAGACAGTCAGTATGAGAGGGGAGATAAAGGGAGATGCATAGAGACAGTCAGCATGAGAGGGGAGATAAAGGGAGATGCATAGAGACAGTCAGCATGAGAGGGGAGATAAAGGGAGATGCATAGAGACAGTCAGCATGAGAGGGGAGATAAAAGGAGATGCATAGAGACAGTCAGCATGAGAGGGGAGATAAAGGGAGATGCATAGAGACAGTCAGCATGAGAGGGGAGATAAAGGGAGATGCATAGTGACAGTTAGCATGAGAGGGGAGATAAAGGGAGATGCATAGAGACAGTCAGCATGAGATTAATAGAAAGCTAAAAAGAGAGCCCCTTAGGGGCCTGTCTGCTTGCCTTAGGGGCCTGTCTGCTTGCCTTAGGGGCCTGTCTGCTTGCCTTAGGGGCCTGTCTGCTTGCCTTATTGACAGCCTGCTGAAGATCAGAGCCCTATACTGACAGCCGCTGAAGACCAGCATTCCCTCCATTCTGTTGTTTGTTCATAAAAAATGCTATCTCAAGAGCCTCCGTCTACTGTACAGTAACATGGGAGGCCCTGTCGAGAGCCTCCGTCTACTGTACAGTAACATGGGAGGCCCTGTCGAGAGCCTCAATCAACCCAGTTCAGTGACTCATTACTGGGGCTCAGTGAGTTACAACGGTTCCCAACAGGTCCAGTTGTCTCCAAGCTAGTGGGAGAACCCCACAGGGGGGATAGAGATTTGTCAATGAGGATGGATGACAGGGAATATTAAAGGGTGTGTGTGAGAGATCTATCACTCATATCCCTGTCCCCTTCTAAGCACAGTCTTCTCATTGTCCAGGCCTACATGACAATTACCCTGAAGTTTTAACTGCTAGCTTGGAAGAGTATAGAGTATGTTAAGTGTGCATATATACTCATGAATAATGTGAGGAAAAGCCCAAGCCCGAGGCTGAAGAGAGACAAGAGGTCTCAGAGAGAGAAAGCGAGGGAGAGAGAAAGAGAGCGACAGAGAGAAAGATATAATAAAGTTCAACCCTGCAGCAAAGATTTGACCTCAACAGAAAAAGGGGAGGGAAATCAGTCAATTGACCCCTGAACTCCCAGGTGACGAGACAACCCTGCTCCCAGCCTACCATAGCAACCCAGCCACCCACCCTCAGGGAGGGTGGCGAACAGAAAAATCCTGAGACTCCATACTTGACAGTACACCACACCATTCCAGCCTGGAGACTGGAGAGAGCTTGACCTGACCCTTCCTTCCTACAGGAGCCACAGCACAGGTCAACAGAGACACAGTCAGTCAGAGAGAAGACTGGGAGGCTGGTGGGCCTTGATAAACCAGGCAGCAGTCAACAGACCCAACACAAAGATGACCCCTCTGGGCAGAGGGCAGGGTCGAGGTTGATGGATGGACAGAAGGTCAGAGGTCAGGGTAGGGAGCCGAGGGGGCAGATAACCATAGCTAATAACGCCTAGCTCACCTCTGTGGCCAGCTAGGTGCAGTGGAGGTCAGGTCACGCTGGCCTGGACAGGTGCTGCTGGACAGGTGCTGCTGGACAGGTGGTGGTCCAACCCAAGCCTGAGGGATAGTGAAAGCTGTCCAGTGACAATGACCTTGTCAAAGAGATTGGATCAGAGCACTTACATCTGTGCATGTTCCTACAGACTTCCAGTCTATTACAATGACCTCACTGCCAACCAATACAGAGTCAGGTAGGAGAGGAAGAGAAGAGAAGAGAAGAGGGGGGACAGAATGATTGTTTTGTCACAGTTCAGTTAAAGTAAAGTACCTGACAGTGTGGTTGAGATAAGGTTGAGACGGGGTTGAGACGGGGTTGAGATAAGGTTGAGATGGGGATAGTGTTGAGATGGGGTTGAGAATGTGTTGAGACGGGGTTGAGCCTAAGCTTTCATGTGGATGGGGAACCCCAGTGATGTGGCTGTAGGCATAAGGGCTATAAACGGAGAGACAAAGAAAGCTACAGTGGGGAAAAAAAGTATTTAGTCAGCCACCAATTGTGCAAGTTCTCCCACTTAAAAATATTTTTTATTGCGATATAATGTCGCTCCCAGACAAGACCCAATTCCCCTTCATTCGCATGAAGAAAATAAGGATATACATGGGGCGGAGATCAGGGTGCCTTGTGAGAATTCATCGGCGAGTGGGTAACCCGCCTCTACCATCCGTTCTATTAGCCAACGTGCAATCACTGGAGAATAAACTGGATGAGCTCCGTTCGAGACTATCCTACCAACGGGACATTAAAAACGGTAATATCTTATGTTTCACTGAGTAGTGGCTGAACGACGACATGGATAATATACAGTTGGCTGGGTTTTCCGTGCATCGGCAGGACAGAACAGCTACGTCTGCTAAGACGAGGGGTGGAGGAGTGTGTCTATTTGTCAATAACAGCTGGTGCGCGATGTCTAATATTAAGGTAGTCTTGAGGTATTGGTCGCCTGAGGTAGAGTACCTCATGATAAGCTGTAGACCACAATATCTACCAAGAGAGTTTTCATCTATATTTTTTGTAGCTGTCTATTTACCACCACTGGCACTAAGACCGCACTCAACGAGCAGTAAATGTTCATCCAGAAGCGGCGCTCCTAGTGGCCGTAGACTTAAATGCAGGAAAACAAATCAATTTTACCTAATTTCTACCAGCATGTCACATGTGCAACCAGAGGAGAAAAAAAAAAACTCTAGACCACCTTTACTCCACACACAGAGACACGTACAAAGCTCTCCCTCGCCCTCCATTTGGAAATCTGAACATAACCTGCTCAATAAGGAAGTGATCAGATGATACGGATGCTACACTACAGGACTGTTTTGCTAGCGCAGACTGGAATATGTTCCGGGATTCATCCAATGGCATTGAGGAGTACACCACCTCAGTCACCAGCTTCATCAATAAGTGCATCGACGACGTCGTCCCCACAGTGACCGTACATACATATCCCAACCATAAGCCATTGATTACAGGCAACATCCGCACCGAGCAAAAGGCTAGAGCTGCTGCTTTCAAGGAGTGGGACACTAATCCGGACGCTTATAAGAAATCCCACTACGCCCTTAGACGAACCATTAAAACAGGCAAAGCATCAATAAAGGACTAAGATTGAATACTACTACACCGGCTTTGATGCTCGTCGAATGTGGCAGGGCTTGCAAACTATTACGGACTACAAAGGGAAACCCAGCCGCGAGATGCATAGTGACGCGAGCCTACCAGACGGGCTCAATGCCTTTTATGCACGTTTCGAGGCAAGCAACACTGAAGCATCCATGAGAGCACCAGCTGTTCCGGACGACTGTGTGATCACGCTCTCCATAGCCGATGTGAGCAAGACCTTTAAACAGGTCAAAGTTCACAAGGCCGCAGGGCCAGACGGATTACCAGGACGTGCACTCCAATTCGCATACCGCCCCAACAGATCCACAGATGACGCAATCTCAAATCGCACTCCACACTGCCCTTTCCCACCTGGACAAAAGGAACACCTATGTGAGAATGCTGTTCATTGACTACAGCTCAGCATTCAACACCATAGTGCCCACAAAGTTCATCACTAAGCTAAGGACCCTGGGACTAAACACCTCCCTCAGCAACTGGATCCTAGACTTCCTGACGGACCACCCCCCAGGTGGTAAGGGTAGGCAACAACACATCTGCCAACGTTGATCCTTAACACAGGGGCCCCTCAAGGGTACGTGCTTAGTCCTCTCCTGTAATCCCTGTTCACCCACGACTGCGTGGCCAAGCACGACTCCAACACTATCATTAAGTTTGCTGACGACACAACGGTGGTAGGCCTGATCACCGACAACGATGAGACAGCCAATAGGGAGGAGGTCAGAGACCTGGCAGTGTGGTGCCAGGGTAACAACATTTACATTTAAGACATTTAGCAGACGCTCTTATCCAACCTCTCCCTCAACGTGAGCAAGACAAATGAGATGATCGTGGACTACAGGAAAAGGAGGGCTGAACACGGCCCCATTCACATCGACGTGGCTGTAGTGGAGCGGGCCGAGAGTTTCAAGTTCCTTGGTGTCCACATCACCAACAAAATATCATGGTCCAAACACACCAAGAAAGTCGTGAAGAGAGCATGACAACGCCTTTTCCCCTTCAGGAGAGAAAAGATTTGGCATGGGTCCCCAGATCCTCAAAAAAGTTATACAGCTGCACCATCGAGAGCATCCTGACCGGTTGCATCACCGCCTGGTATGGTAACTGCTCGGCATCCGACCATAAGGCGCTACAGAGGGTAGTGCGTACAGCCCAGTACATCACTGGGGCCAAGCTTCCTGCCATCCAGGACCTATATACTAGGTGGTGTCAGAGGAAGGCCCAAAAAATTGTCAAAGACTCCAGTCACCCAAGTCATAGACTGTTCTCTCTGTTACCGCAAGGCAAGCGGTATCGGAGCGCCAAGTCTAGGTCCAAAAGGAATCTTAACAGCTTCTACCTACAAGCCATAAGAATGCTGAACAATTAATCAAATGGCCACCCGGATTATTTGCATTGACACCCCCCACCCTTTGTTTTTACACTGCTGCTACTCATCTATGCATAGTCACTTTACCCCTTCCTACAAATTACCTCGACTAACCTGTACCCCCGCACATTGACTCGGTACCGGTACCTTCTGTATATAGCCTCATTATTGTTATTTTATTGTGTAACTTTATTTATTTTCTTAACTCTATTCTAACTGCATTGTTGGTTAAGGGCTTGTAAGTAAGCATTTCACGGTAAGGTCTACACCTGTTGTATTCGGAGCATGTGACAAATAAAATGTGACCAAATTCACATAGAAATGTGTGTTATAGATCTGTCATTCTCATTAAAAGCAAGTCTAAGAAGCGGTATATCTGTTCTATGTGCACTATTTCTATACTTCCCCTTCTTAAATTTAGTTTTTGCGTCTTTTACGTTTGGTTTTATACACCAGCCTATTTAACAGCTGAAAATAAAAGATTTCTGAAAATATATCAGATGGTTCGATGATTGCTTGTTTTGTCACATAAACTGAAATTAGGCAAACTATTTGAATTTTAGCAACCAGGAAATGGTGGAGCGATTTCTGCATATTGTATCTTTAATAGGTAGGTACACAAAAGGTAGAAAAATATAATATCCTCCTTTGCATATTTGGTTATTATTCTACACACTGACAATTATTTTAATGAGCTCCGCCCCCAAACAAGACTACATTTGGTTGGTCCGGACTGGACCAAATCTAAACCAATCATAGATGTCTATGTTTCACACATTTGGACATCAAAGCACAGCACATTAGAGTACAGTAGAGTACAGTACAGTTCAGTAAAGTAGAGTTCAGTTCAGTACAGTTCAGTACAGTAGAGTTCAGTTCAGTACAGTTCAGTTCAGTAGAGTAGAGTTCAGTACAGTACATTACAGTATAGTTCAGTACAGTTCAGTAGAGTTCAGTAGAGTAGAATTCAGTAGAGTAACGTTCACTACACTACAGTTCAATACATTACAGTGTACTCAACTGCAGTGTGCTCTACTGTGTGCTCAAATCTGAAGCAATCATGGAAGTCTATGTTTCGGGCAAATCAAGGCTGACGGACTGGACCAAAAACGACGTCTGTGGACGTAGAAATCAAGGGCAGGGTGGACTGACTGAATTTCAACTACTATTCAACGTCCATGGACGTCCGGTGTCGGTCGGTGCTCAGTGGATAAGGATGCTGGTTACAATAAATGGAGAGGGGGGGGTCATGGGTAAGTTTCAGTAAGAGCCGGGAGAGGTGGGGGATTGGAAGTGATGCAGACAATTACATTGATAGAAGATACAATCTATCTGCAATATTAAGCTGATACATTCCCCAAAAATAAATAAAAAATGAAGAAAAAAAATAATGAAGAAAAAAAATAATGATAAAAAAAAAAAAAAAAAAAAAAAAGAGCCGGGAGAGGTGACATTAACTGGAGAGAGAGAGAAGAGAGAGAGGCAGAGAGAGAAGAGAGAGAGGCAGAGAGAGCGAGAGAGGGAGAGCAAGAGGTTACAGATTTTTCGGAGATTCCGTTACCAATTTGGTAACAGAATTTAGAGTTTTAATCACTTAATAATTCATAAACCAAATAGATATCAGTAAAAACACTATAACTACACTGAACAAAAATATAAACGCAACATGTAAAGTGTTGGTCCCATGTTTCATGAGCTGAAATAAAAGATCCCAGAAATTTTCCATACGCGCAAAAAGCGTATTTCTCTCAAATTGTGTGTGCAAATTTGTTCACATCCCTGTTAGTGAGCATTTCTCCTTTGCCAAGATAATCCATCCACCTGACAGGTGTGGCATATCAAGAAGTGATTAAACAGCATGATCATTACACAAGTGCACATTGTGCTTGGGACAATAAAGGCCACTCTAAAATGTGCAGTTTTGTCACACAACACAATGCCACAGATGTCTCAAGTTTTGAGGGAGCGTGGAATTGGCCTGCTGACTGCAAGAATATCCACCAGAGCTGTTGCCAGAGAATTGAATGTTCATTTCTTTATCATAAGCCGCCTCCAATGTTCTACAATAAGCCTGCCTCACAACCGCAGACCAGGTGTAACCACGCCAGGCCAAGACCTCCACATCTGGCTTCTTCACCTGCGGGATCGTCTGAGACCAGCCAACCGGACAGCTGATGAAACTGTGGGTTTGCACAACCAAAGAATTTCTGCACAAATTGTCTCAGGGAAGCACATCTGCGTGCTCGTCGTCCTCAACAGGGTCTTAACCTGACTGCAGTTCGGCATCATAACAGACTTCAGTGGGAAAATGCTCAGCTTCGATGGACACTGGCACGCTGGAGAAGTGTGCTCTTCAAAGACGAATCCCGGTTTCAACTGTATCGGGCGTCGTGTGGGCGAGTGGTTTGCTGATGTCAACGTTGTGAACAGAGTGTCCCATGGTGGCGGTGGGGTTACAGTGTGGGCAGGCATAAGTTACGGACAACGAACACAATTGCATTTTATCGATGGCAATTCGAATGCACAGAGATACCGTGACGAGATCCTGATGCCCATTGTCGTGCCATTCATACGCCACCATCACCTCATATTTCAGCAAGATCATGCACAATTCCTGGAAGCTGAACATTTCGCAGTTCTTCCATGGCCTGCATATTCACCAGACAGGTCAACCATTAAGCATGTTTGGGATGCTCTGGATTGATGTGTACTACAGCGTGTTGCAGTTTCCGCCAATATCCAGCAACTTCGCACAGCCATTGAAGAGGAGTGGGACAACATTCCACAGGCCACAATCAACAGCCTGATCAACTCTATGCGAAGGAGTGGCGGTCACTCCAGATACTGACTGATTTTCTGATCCACGCCCTTACCTTTTTTAAAAAGGTATCTGTGACCAACAGATGCATATCTGTATTCCCAGTCATGTGAAATCCATAGATTAGGGCCTAATGAATTTATTTAAATTGACTGACTTCCTTATATGAACTGTAACTAAATCTTGCATGTTGCATTTATATCAAAATCAAAGCCTTTGCTTATTCCTAATATACAGTATGTATGCCTTAATTAAAAAATATATATATAGACTTTCATTTGACAACAGATTTGACATGCTCCTATGAACTTCACATGTTGGTACTCGTGGGTCCTTTTAAATGGAAATGACAGAGGCCATTATCTGACTACAGGTTCAGTTCACCGCTAGGTCACGGTGGTTCTTAACTGTCGCTCAGTTGCTGCTTTCACAAAAACACTGTTATTTCAAGAACTTTACCATGAAGCATATACAGTGAGGGAAAAAAGTATTTGATCCCCTGCTGATTTTGTACATTTGCCAACTGACAAAGAAATGATCATTATATAATTTTAATGGTAGGTTTGTTTGAACAGTGAGAGACAGAATAACAACAAAAAAATCCAGAAAAACGCATGTCAAAAATTTTATAAATTGATTTGCATTTTAATGAGGGAAATAAGTATTTGACCCCTTCTCAATCAGAAAGATTTCTGGCTCCCAGGTGTCTTTTATACAGGTAATGAGCTGAGATTAGGAGCACACTCTTAAAGGGAGTGCTCCTAATCTCAGTTTGTTATCTGTATAAAAGACACCTGTCCACAGAATCAATCAATCAATCAATCAGATTCCAAACTCTCCACCATGGCCAAGACCAAAGAGCTCTCCAAGGAAGTCAGGGACAAGATTGTAGACCTACACAAGGCTGGAATGGGCTACAAGACCATCGCCAAGCAGCTTGGTGAGAAGGTGACAACAGTTGGTGCGATTATTCTCAAATGGAAGAAACACAAAGTAACTGTCAATCTCCCTCGGCCTGGGACTCCATGCAAGATCTCACCTCGTGGAGTTGCAATGATCATGAGAACGGTGAGGAATCAGCCCAGAACTACACGGGAGGATCTTGTCAATGATCTCAAGGCAGCTGGGACCATAGTCACCAAGAAAACAATTGGTAACACACTACGCCATGAAGGTCTGAAATCCTGCAGCGCCCGCAAGGTCCCCCTGCTCAATAAAGCACATATACAGGCCCGTCTGAAGTTTGCCAATTAACATCTGAATGATTCAGAGGAGAACTGGATGAAAGTGTTGTGGTCAGATGAGACCAAAATCGAGCTCTTTGGCATCAACTCAACTCGCCGTGTTTGGAGGAGGAGGAATGTGCCTATGACCCCACTGAACACCATCCCCACCGTCAAACATGGAGGTGGAAACATTATGCTTTGGGGGTGTTTTTCTGCACCGCATCAAAGGGACGATGGACGGGGCCATGTACCGTCAAATCTTGGGTGAGAACCTCCTTCCCTCAGCCAGAGCATTGAAAATGGGTCGTGGATGGGTATTCCAGCATGACAATTAACCAAAACACACGGCCAAGGCAACAAAGGAGTGGCTCAAAATAAGCACATTAAGGTCCTGGAGTGGCCTAGCCAGTCTCCAGACCTTAATCCCATAGAAAATCTGTGGAGGGAGCTGAAGGTTCGAGTTGCCAAACGTCAGCCTCGAAACCTTAATGACTTGTAGAAGATCTGCAAAGAGGAGTGGGACAAAATCCCTCCTGAGATGTGTGCAAACCTGGTGGCCAACTACAAGAAAGGTCTGACCTCTGTGATTGCCAACAAGGGTTTTTCCACCAAGTACTAAGTCATGTTTTGCAGAGGGGTCAAATACTTATTTCCCTCATTAAAATGCAAATCAATCTATAACATTTTTGACATGTGTTTTTCTGGATTTTTTTGTTGTTATTCTGTCTCTCACTGTTCAAATAAACCTACCATTAAAATTATAGACTGATCATGTCTTTGTCAGTGGGCAAACGTACAAAATCAGCAGGGGATCAAATACTTGTTTCCCTCACTGTAGGAAGGAACATGGTGTGTGTGTGTGTGTGTGTGTGTGTGTGTGTGAGTGAGAGACTGAAAGAAAAAGAGAGGCGTAGGCTGATACCAGAAAGTCTGGCCAAAAGATCCCAGATTTCAACCAACCACCAACTGAAACCCAGTCATCCTGCATGCTTCTGTCTCTCCCTCAGTAAAGTCAGCAAACAACCCCTTCAGTTTGTGTTCTCATGCATACAATGGAAATAAACACCCAACCTCTGCATTCAAGTACAGCCTCACACATCGGCCTGTTTTGAGAGAAAAGACACCTTTGGCGAGATAGTAGGCTACTTCCGTTTTTAGTGAAATACAGTAGTGACTTTGACATTAGAATTTCCTTATTGAAATGTTTGAGTAAAGTCCCTCACCACGGAAGACCACACCCCCTTCAGCTTTACCTGTTCAACAGAACGTCTTCTCAGAGAGCGGTCTGAGAAGACAGTCAGACCACTGAGAAATACGCTGACTAACTATTGTGGTGGGGAATGAGATCCTGAAGGTAGTGGAATACATCAATGTCAGGGATGATATCAGGCTAAGGTAACATTAGGGTTGATATCAGGCTCACTCCCTCTCCTCCACCCAAAACACTCACTTCCTCTCCACCACCCAAACACTCACTCCCTCTCCACCACCCAAAACGCTCACTCCCTCTCCACCACCCAAAACGCTCACTCCCTCTCCACCACCCAAAACGCTCACTCCCTCTCCACCACCCAAAACGCTCACTCCCTCTCCACCACCCAAAACGCTCACTCCCTCTCCACCACCCAAAACACTCACTCCCTCTCCACCACCCAAAACACTCACTCCCTCTCCACCACCCAAAACGCTCACTCCCTCTCCACCACCCAAAACACTCACTCCCTCTCCACCACACAAAACACTCACTCCCTCTCCACCACCCAAAACGCTCACTCCCTCTCCACCACCCAAAACACTCACTCCCTCTCCACCACACAAAACACTCACTCCCTCTCCACCACCCAAACACTCAATCCCTCTCCACGACCCAAACACTCACTCCCTCTCCTCCACCCAAACACTCAATCCCTCTCCTCCACAAGACCCACACCACCACGCCTTAATGGAGTGACTGCATTAGAGAAAGCCCACAGTGGGGTATTGTATCGATTTAAGCTCCTCTCCTCCCAGTATAAGACACAGTCTCTAAGGCCCCCCATGGAAACATTCTCTCTCTTAGGCCCCCCCATAAAAGCACTCTCTCTTTCTCTAAGGCCCTCCATAGAAACACTCTTTCTCAGTCCTCTCTCTCTCTCTCTCTCTATTCGCTGTGGCCTCAGCTAGGGTTGGGGCAACATTACGGAAGCATCGTATATCGACGATGATTGACAGCCATGGTCGATGGAGATGACATTGTGATGTCACAAACGATGGGTAAGCCTTTGCATTTGAATGGAGTCTGGCAGCGCACAACGGCGAACAGCAGGGCGACATGCCAAACGGCGAACAGCAGGGCGACATGCCAAACGGAGAACAGCAGGGCGACATGCCAAACGGAGAACAGCAGGGCGACATGCCAAACGGCGAACAGCAGGGCGACATGCCAAACGGCGAACAGCAGGGCGACATGCCAAACGGAGAACAGCAGGGCGACATGCCAAACGGCGAACAGCAGGGCGACATGCCAAACGGAGAACAGCAGGGCGACATGCCAAACGGAGAACAGCAGGGCGACATGCCAAACGGCGAACAGCAGGGCGACTGCCAAAACGGCGAACAGCAGGGCGACATGCCAAACGGCGAAACAGCAGGGCGACATGCCAAACGGCGAACAGCAGGGCGACCATGCCAAAACGGCGAAACAGCAGGGCGACATGACCAAACGAGAACAGCAGGGCGGGACATGCAAACGGAGAACAGCAGGGCGACATGCCAAACGGAGAACAGCAGGGCGACATGCCAAACGGAGAACAGCAGGGCGACATGCCAAACGGAGAACAGCAGGGCGACATGCCAAACGGAGAACAGCAGGGCGACATGCCAAACGGAGAACAGCAGGGCGACATGCCAAACGGAGAACAGCAGGGCGACATGCCAAACGGAGAACAGCAGGGCGACATGCCAAACGGAGAACAGCAGGGCGACATGCCAAACGGAGAACAGCAGGGCGACATGCCAAACGGCAAACAGCAGAGCGACATGCCAAACGGCAAACAGCAGGGCGACATGCCAAACGGCGAACAGCAGGGCGACATGCCAAACGGAGAACAGCAGGGCGACATGCCAAACGGAGAACAGCAGGGCGACATGCCAAACGGCAAACAGCAGGGCGACATGCCAAACGGCGAACAGCAGGGCGACATGCCAAACGGCAAACAGCAGGGCGACATGCCAAACGGCAAACAGCAGGGCGACATGTCAAATGGCCTATTCCCTGTAGCATAAATGTTCAATAAATATGTTTAACATAATGCAAGAGAACAATGTAGATTGTAGAAAGAGCTGAGAACACCAAAGCAGAGCAAAATATATGCATATTGCCTACTCTTTCATGATCAACCATCAAATGAATCTATGGGCATTACGGAGTGAACAGAAAGTTGTTTGCGAATAGCCTAAATAAAAACATAGTATAGTTGTAATGAGAGACAACAAACGATTGCAAGATGGACTAATCGAATAGGAAGTTTAAACATACATATATATATACATACATATACACATATACAGTGGGGGAAAAAAGTATTTAGTCAGCCACCAATTGTGCAAGTTCTCCCACTTAAAAAGATGAGAGGCCTGTAATTTTCATCATAGGTACACGTCAACTATGACAGACAAATTTAGAGAAAAAAAATCCAGAAAATCACATTGTAGGATTTTTAATGAATTTATTTGCAAATTATGGTGGAAAATAAGTATTTGGTCACCTACAAACAAGCAAGATTTCTGGCTCTCACAGACCTGTAACTTCTTCTTTAAGAGGCTCCTCTGTCCTCCACTCGTTACCTGTATTAATGGCACCTGTTTGAACTTGTTATCAGTATAAAAGACACCTGTCCACAACCTCAAACAGTCACACTCCAAACTCCACTATGGCCAAGACCAAAGAGCTGTCAAAGGACACCAGAAACAAAATTGTAGACCTGCACCAGGCTGGGAAGACTGAATCTGCAATAGGTAAGCAGCTTGGTTTGAAGAAATCAACTGTGGGAGCAATTATTAGGAAATGGAAGACATACAAGACCACTGATAATCTCCCTCGATCTGGGGCTCCACGCAAGATCTCACCCTGTGGGGTCAAAATGATCACAAGAACGGTGAGAAAAAATCCCAGAACTACACGGGGGGACCTAGTGAATGACCTGCAGAGAGCTGGGACCAAAGTAACAAAGCCTACCATCAGTAACACACTACGCCGCCAGGGACTCAAATCCTGCAGTGAGAGACGTGTCCCCCTGCTTAAGCCAGTACATGTCCAGGCCCGTCTGAAGTTTGCTAGAGTGCATTTGGATGATCCAGAAGAGGATTGGGAGAATGTCATATGGTCAGATGAAACCAAAATAGAAAGTTTTGGTAGAAACTCAACTCGTCGTGTTTGGAGGACAAAGAATGTTGAGTTGCATCCAAAGAACACCATACCTACTGTGAAGCATGGGGGTGGAAACATCATGCTTTGGGGCTGTTTTTCTGCAAAGGGACCAGGACGACTGATCCGTGTAAAGGAAAGAATGAATGGGGCCATGTATCGTGAGATTTTGAGTGAAAACCTCCTTCCATCAGCAAGGGCATTGAAGATGAAATGTGGCTGGGTCTTTCAGCATGACAATGATCACAAACACACCGCCCGGGCAACGAAGGAGTGGTTGCCCAGTGACAGCCCCAAAACATCACTGCTCTAGAGGAGATCTGCATGGAGGAATGGGCCAAAATACCAGCAACAGTGTGTGAAAACCTTGTGAAGACTTACAGAAAACGTTTGACCTGTGTCATTGCCAACAAAGGGTATATAACAAAGTATTGAGAAACTTTTGTTATTGACCAAATACTTATTTTCCACCATAATTTGCAAATAAATTCATTAAAAATCCTACAATGGAATTTTCTGGAATTTTTTTCCTCATTTTGTCTGTCATAGTTGACGTGTACCTATGATGAAAATTACAGGCCTCTCTCATCTTTTTAAGTGGGAGAACTTGCACAATTGGTGGCTGACTAAATACTTTTTTTCCCCACTGTATGTATGTATGTATGTATGTATGTATGTATGTATGTATGTATATATATATATACACACACACACATATATATACACACACAGTGGGGAGAACAAGTATTTGATACACTGCCGATTTTTCAGGTTTTCCTACTTACAAAGCATGTAGAGGTCTGTAATTTTTATCATAGGTACACTTCAACTGTGAGAGATGGAATCTATAACAAAAATCCAGAAAATCACATTGTATAATTTTTTAAGTAATTAATTTGCATTTTATTGCATGACATAAGTATTTGATACATCAGAAAAGCAGAACTTAATATTTGGTACAGAAACCTTTGATCATACGTTTCCTGTAGGTCTTGACCAGGTTTGCACACACTGCAGCAGGGATTTTGGCACACTCCTCCATACAGACCTTCTCCAGATTCTTCAGGTTTCGGGGCTGTCGCTGGGCAATACGGACTTTCAGCTCCCTCCAAAGATTTTCTATTGGGTTCAGGTCTGGAGACTGGCTAGGCCACTCCAGGACCTTGAGATGCTTCTTACGGAGCCACTCCTTAGTTGCCCTGGCTGTGTGTTTCGGGTCGTTGTCATGCTGGAAGACCCAGCCACGACCCATCTTCAATGCTCTTACTGAGGGAAGGAGGTTGTTGGCCAAGATCTCGCGATACATGGCCCCATCCATCCTCCCCTCAATACGGTGCAGTCGTCCTGTCCCCTTTGCAGAAAAGCATCCCCAAAGAATGATGTTTCCACCTCCATGCTTCACGGTTGGGATGGTGTTCTTGGGGTTGTACTCATCCTTCTTCTTCCTCCAAACACGGCGAGTGGAGTTTAGACCAAAAAGCTCTATTTTTGTCTCATCAGACCACATGACCTTCTCCCATTCCTCCTCTGGATCATCCAGATGGTCATTGGCAAACTTCAGATGGGCCTGGACATGCGCTGGTTTGAGCAGGGGGACCTTGCATGCACTGCAGGATTTTAATCCATGACGGCGTAGTGTGTTACTAATGGTTTTCTTTGAGACTGTGGTCCCAGCTCTCTTCAGGTCATTGACCAGATCCTGCCGTGTAGTTCTGGGCTGATCCCTCACCTTCCTCATGATCATTGATGCCCCACGAGGTGAGATCTTGCATGGAGCCCCAGACCGAGGGTGATTGACCGTCATCTTGAACTTCTCCCATTTTCTAATAATTGCGCCAACAGTTGTTGCCTTCTCACCAAGCTGCTTGCCTATTGTCCTGTAGCCCATCCCAGCCTTGTGCAGGTCTACAATTTTATCCCTGATGTCCTTACACAGATCTCTGGTCTTGGCCATTGTGGAGAGGTTGGCGTCTGTTTGATTGAGTGTGTGGACAGGTGTCTTTTATACAGGTAACGAGTTCAAACAGGTGCAGTTAATACAGGTAATGAGTGGAGAACAGGAGGGCTTCTTAAAGAAAAACTAACAGGTCTGTGAGAGCCGGAATTCTTACTGGTTGGTAGGTGATCAAATACTTATGTCATGCAATAAAATGCAAATTAATTACTTAAAAATCATACAATGTGATTTTCTGGATTTTTGTTTTAGATTCCGTCTCTCACAGTTGAAGTGTACCTATGATAAAAATGACAGACCTCTACATGCTTTGTAAGTAGTTAAACCTGCAAAATCGGCAGTGTATCAAATACTTGTTCTCCCCACTGTACAGTGGGGAAAAAAAGTATTTAGTCAGCCACCAATTGTGCAAGTTCTCCCACTTAAAAAGATGAGAGAGGCCTGTAATTTTCATCATAGGTACACGTCAACTATGACAGATAAAATGAGAAAGAAAATTCCAGAAAATCACATTGTAGGATTTTAAATGAATTTATTTGCAAATTATGGTGGAAAATAAGTATTTGGTCAATAACAAAAGTTTCTCAATACTTTGTTATATACCCTTTGTTGGCAATGACACAGGTCAAACGTTTTCTGTAAGTCTTCACAAGGTTTTCACACACTGTTGCTGGTATTTTGGCCCATTCCTCCATGCAGATCTCCTCTAGAGCAGTGATGTTTTGGGGCTGTCGCTGGGCAACACAGACTTTCAACTCCCTCCAAAGACTTTCTATGGGGTTGAGATCTGGAGACTGGCTAGGCCACTCCAGGACCTTGAAATGCTTCTTACGAAGCCACTCCTTCGTTGCCCGGGCGGTGTGTTTGGGATCATTGTCATGCTGAAAGACCTAGCCACGTTTCATCTTCAATGCCCTTGCTGATGGAAGGAGGTTTTCTTTTCTTCTCCTCAGGCTCCAGGCCCTCTCCCTCTCCCCTCACACTCTCTTTAAACGGCACTACATAGAAAACATTCTACTCGTGCAATGGATTACAGTCAACACATATATACACAGTCAACACATACAACCCTTTCATAGACCAAGTAAACTGGTTGTTTGGTTTTAGTGATGATGTGTCAGAGCCTGGCTACGCTCTTCATAGCCATGGTGTCTCTATTCCAAAGGATGAAATGTTGATTCAATTAAATGGCTGTTGAGAGCACTTCCATAATGGTACTCGGTTTATACTGCAATCTAGCGCCATATTTGTTGTTAATTAACCTTGACGTGTAGGCTCACTTCTGCAATTGGCTGTAAAATCTACATATACGTGCAATTATCCCTTCATGTTTTTATTATTTTGTATTATTTCATCAGTGCTTTAATCACAGTTTTACGCTCAGTTTTTTTTATAACAAAGTGCAATGAGGAACCATTAGGGCTAGTTGTGTTTTACCATGTCTTAGGTCTACCTAAATGTTTCACCAGCATGTTCACCTTTTCTGGTTTAAGAAGACTTCGGAGTGGAGTGATAACATTGCCTGCTGTACTGAAAACACTTAGTGCTTGTTGCACAGATGCACAGGTACTTTGGGGCGACGTTTGCCATGAGTGGAAAGACCTTCATTCCCCTCTCCACCATGCCAGTGGGTCAACATCTCCTCCGATGGCATGTTCAATGAGCGTGATTGAGTGAGACTTTCTTTTACCAAAGAAAAAATAACTATGCCTAACAGCGTTTTATTCTTAACAGGGATTTACTGAGATTGTTTGTGACTTTTGTACCAATTTAAATGAGAAGAATTACATCAAGCC